TTCCATCCTAATTTTCTATTATGTGAGAAAGATCTGTCTTTCCACCCAGGAGTAAAATGTTGAGAGGTGTTCCCACCAATGAGGATTTTGTTCTCCCTGCCTCTTCCCACATAATCATAGCACACTGGCCAGCCATCTCAAGCATTCACTTATGCTTTCTTGACTATAAAGTAAATTTGGATTTAAAAACAAATATGACAGAGGTAAATAATAAATATAACTGTATTTGATGCAGATTAGCAGAGCTTTGGAGAAGGCAATGGCAACCCACTCCAGTACTCTTGCCTGGAAAATCCCATGGGCAGAGGAGCCTGGTGGGCTGCAGTCCATGGGGTCATGAAATAAGTCGGACATGACTGAGCGACTTCACTTTCATTTTCACTTTCATGCTTTGGAGAAGGAAATGGCAGCCCACTCCAGTTTTCTTGCCTGGAGAATCCCAGAGATGGGGGAGCCTGATGGGCTGCCGTCTAAGAGGTCGCACAGAGTCGGACACGACTGAAGCGACTTAGCAGCAGCAGTAGCAGCAGCAGCAGAGCTTTTTGGCATTAAACCACCCGTTTTGTGTCTATTACCTCTTTTCCCTTATGCATCCTTCTAAATGGGAATTTGCTAACTTTCAGCAAGCTGGTTCATACTCTTACTTTTCCCCCTTTTGTTACAGTACAAACAAGATATTTCATTTTACCCGTCTTTTCCCTCTGACTAGCAAGTTCACTTTCTGCTTTATTTATTCAAATTATAATCTCTATTTATATTCAAAAAGGATTTGCAGTGATTATTTTTCTAGTTGAATCCCAGGTACCTCATCAAAAATTTCTTTCCCATGGAAACCTGCTTTATCAACTGGCCCAGCCTCTCTTTGAATCCCAGAGAATCTATTTTCTCCCTTCTTTTAGGTGCAGCCTTTCTGATAGCATGATCACCCCCACCCCTATTACCACCATCAGCTGCCAACTGAGTTTACTAATCCCTACTCTTCTTAACATCTTACTGAGCTTTGGGTTCAGTCAGCCCTTAATTTTTTCTAATAATCGCAAGTATGCCGGCCTTGCCTACAGGATGATATAATGAGCCTAAAATTTTAAAAGCTAGTTAAGAGACTGTAATTTTAAAAAATCTCAGAGAGGCAGGAAAAAAGTATATGATGGATTCATTTAGTTATTTTACTTATATTTTTAAAGGTTTACTTTAATTACATGGACTTAATCTGTACCTTCTCTGGCTATAAGAAATAGTTGGGTTTTTATTTACTTTCTTTTCTGAGAGACTTTCAAGATCTTAATTGCTAAACATTAAAATCAAATCTCTGTTTTGAAAAGCTGCTTTTATGTATGCATGTACATATGAAGGGGATGTGTGTTAAAGACTTCTTCAGAGCCCACGCGTAGTCAGTGCAAAAGGAAAGAAGATATTTATAAACCATGGCTGGGTACTCAATGTGATCTGTGGCAAACATGGTATAAAAAGTTGATCTTCCACTGATATATCCTTATGGCAAGAAAGACCCCAAGACTTTTATGCTCACCATCTAAATTCGTTTAGTTTTGATTGTTTCCTCACTAACATCATTTTCAGATTCTGATTTAGCTTCCCTGATGGACTATGGAAAGAGGTTCTGTTTCACATGGATGCAGCCTGTTTCAAGTTCTTGGGCTGGGTTTTGTGTTTTGTTTTTTTTTAAATGTAAATCAATTCTGTCATTTTGATGCCAAAACTGTGTAGGAATTTCAGTTACAGTGAATTAGCTCAACTACTGATCAAATATGAACAAGAGTGAATCACTGGGCCTTCAAAGCAAAAGACCAGAGCCTGGAATGGGGTCACCAAATGTGGTGCTGGTTAGTACAGCCTGTTGTCACTCTCAGCAGCCTGTCCTGAGCCAGTTCTGCAATTTCCATCTCCGTGTGTTTCTGTGTTAGTCGCTCAGTCATGTCCACCTCTTTGCAATTCATGGACTGTAGCTCCTCAGACTCCTCCATCCATGGAATCCTCCAGGCAAGAATAATGGAATGGGTTGCCATTCCCTTCTCCAGGGTATCTTCCTGGCCAAAGGATTGAACCCAGGTCTCCTGCATTGCAGGCAGATTCTTTGCCATCTGAGCCACCATATTGACATATAAATGCCCAAAAAACAGTGTTAATTAGAATGATGTGTCCTAGATCACTCTTCAAGTTAGAGAATCCCCAAGTACTCCCAAATTCCTTGACTCTGGATTCCAATATCTGTGCCTTGTTTCTAAGGACTAAACTCTCAATGCCCTGAGCACCCCAAAGCCCTGAAGCGAGCAGGGAGCAGTTGGCACGTCAAAGGTGCAGCCGGGTAACTTCTGCAATGCTATAACAGATCTCCTTCTTGAAACTAATAGAATGTTTTGTGTCACTTAGATCTCAATAAAACTGCATATATCAAATCGATAGACTATACATCTGAAACTAATACAGTGTTGCATATCACCTGAAAGTGAAAGTGAAGTCAAAACCACTCAGTCGTGTCTGACTCTTTGCAACCCATGGACTGTAGCCTGCCAGGCTCCTCCGACCATGAGCTTTTCCAGGCAAGCATACTGGAGTGGGTTGCCATTTCCTTCTCCAGGGGATCTTCCCAACCCAGGGATTGAACCCGTGTCTCCCTCATTACAGGCAGACTCTTTACTATCTGAGCCACCTCTAATACCTCTAATACCAAGCATATCACCAAGCATATCTTTATTTCAATAAAGGAAAAAAAACTCCTCGTCCCCTTCCCCAGCAATGAACTCTTAGAAGAACTCTATATCAATAAGGCAGTGAAAACATATTCATTTAAGTAATATTTATGAAGAACTTGCTGTGTGCTACTGAGATACAAAATAGAATAGCTTCAGTTCATCAAGGTCATATTCTCATGTCAGCAGAGTATGTGGAGAGCCAAGGAAAGTGTTTCACATTAACAAATTAGCTTCATGTGTCAATAAGTCCTTTGAAGGTAATCAAATGGGAAGATGTTTTAGAGAAAGACTTGGGGAAAGAATAATACCACTCTGGGGAACATGGCCAGAAAACAACTTCTGGAAGGGAGATATTTAAGTCTCAACCTGCATAATGATGATATAGGGGCTGCCCATGTGATAGGAAGTGAGATGGTCAATGTGACTGGAAGACGGGGAGCTGGATGGAAGACAGTGTGAAATATAGCCAGAAACTAACTGAAGGATGCAGGCCTTTGGAGACAAAAGTAGGAGCCTGGGTTTATTCTAGTTTCAAGTTTGTTAGAAGGTTTAAATAAAGTAGCAGCAGCCCAAACTCCCATTTTTAAAGCCAAAACCCTCGCTGCTATGTTGGTGTGAATTGTAACTTGTAACGGGGCAAATGTCGAAAAGAGAATTCAAGTGAGAAGTGGTATCCTTGGCTCTAGTTGAGGAAAGAGACTCAAATGGAATATAATTTGGTTTGGTCAGAGTCAAAAAGGCTAGCTGAGTAGAGATACATGGACTGAGGATAGGGTGGCTTTGTCAGTGTTGATATGAGCAAGTGGGTGGTTTGTAGTTCCATTTAACTAGAAATAGTAGACTGCAAGAGGAACAGATTTGAAGGGGCTAGAGAAAGCTAGGGAAATAAGAGTTCCTTTTTGGCTAATTTAAGCCTTAATAGGCTCTTAAACATCTAGTGGTAGGAATAATCAGAGCAGAAACAACTGAAGAGATGAGTCTGATTTTCAAAACAAACATCAGGGATATCACTGTAAATTAATGTCAGTAGCATATAGACAACAAATATGATTCCAGGAAATCCTGGAATCTGCCTGGAATGCAGGAGACCCCAGTTCAATTCCTGGATCAGGAAGATCCACTAGAGAAGGGATAGGTTACCCACTCCAGTATTCTGGCCTGGAGAATTCCATGGACTGTATAGTCTATGGGGTCACAAAGAGTCGGACCTGACCGAGTGACTTTCACTTTCACCTTCAAAGTATAGATAATTCAAGCTATGGAATTGGATAAAATCACATAGAAAGAGGGTTTACACTGAGATGATAAGAGCCTGAGACCGACATTACTCCAAGATTTAGAAATCAGACAAGAGAAAAGGAGGAACCAGAAACGAAGATGGAAAAGTAGCAGCCAATGAGGTAGAAGATCACTAAGGGAATTTGCTAACCCTAAAGATGACAGAAAGTATTTTACTAAAGAGAAAACCAATCAAACAAAAATAAGAGATTAAATAAGATAATCATGGAGAAATGGCCATCGGATTTCATAAATGAAGACTAATGGGATCTTTGGAGAGTTCAAATTTTTAAGACATTATATCTGATGAAAGGCATGTGATGTACCACTTTTTCTATTTAAATTTCATAACCAGTCCAGTGTAGAAAAAAAAATTAAGTGGAAAAGAGTGTTATCTAGACTATAACATTCAGCATGGTAATAGTGACTATAAATAAATGTAAAGAACAATGCCATGTGATATAAAGGACAAATCGAATAGCTCTCATTACATCATCTGGCTTAAAATATTTTAAGCAATTAAAATAAAATTCTAATTGATTAGAAGCTAAAGTAATTTCTAAATGTTAGAATCCACTTCTGCAAGGTCAAAAGGTAATTTTTATATTCAGATATTCATAATGTCTGGGTCATTGAAGTCTTAAACCATGTATGTTTTAGCCATGAATTAGAGATGTGTGCATGCCTGCTAAGTCACTTCAGTCTTGTCCGATTCTTTGTGACCTGATGGACTATAACCTGCCAGGCTCCTCTGTCCATGGGATTTCCAGCCAAGCACACTGGAGTGGATTGCCATGTCCTCCTCTAGGGGATCTTCGCGACCCAGGATCGAACCCATGTCTCTTATGTGTCCTGCATTGGCAGGCGGGTTCTCTACCACTATTACCACCTAGGAAGTGCGAAGTAGAGATAGACTGGTCCAAAAAATCCCTTGACTGGAAGCTAAAAACTATTTGTAGAAGATGGAAATAACTTTCTGTGACTTACGACAATTCTTCTTTCTATTCCAAGGTATGGCGACATGGTACCAAAAACCATAGCAGGGAAGATTTTTGGCTCCATCTGTTCGCTGAGCGGAGTCTTGGTCATTGCTCTACCTGTCCCGGTGATCGTATCCAACTTCAGTCGGATCTACCACCAGAACCAACGGGCAGACAAACGAAGAGCACAGAAGGCGAGTATTCAGTTCCCTGCGACCACGGTTTAGCATCTCCCACTCCGAAAAGTGAGCTTTAAAATCCCTTACTGGCTATCCAGTGTTCTGGTTTGGGTCGATAGTTGCATCAGTCAGCACAAGCTAAATTATACTACAGTAAAAAACAACCTTGATATCTTAGTGACTTAAAAACAAGGAGTATTTCTTAATCATGCTACAGATTACTCTGGTGATAGAAACTCCATCTTAACAATGTACGTCTGCAGTCGTGCAAGCAGAGATAAAAAGGACATGATGAATCACAGCCTGACTCCTAAAACTTCCTCTTGGAAGTGGGCCAAGTCACTTCCATCTCTATTGCATTAACTCAAGTAAGTCACATAGTCACGTGTAACTTTAGAACTGGCAGAGCAAGATAATCCTACTATGCAACAGAGACAACAAGAAAGAAATATTTGGTGAATAGCACTAATGACAATAGTAAAAATCAAAGATAGATTCTTGGCAAATTTTATTAGAATCAGATTTGTAGATCTGATTCATTTAGTTTCTGTCCATCAGAGATCAAGTTGGTTCCAGTAGGCTGGGGCTATTAAAGGGCACCAAAATATGTCTCAGATGTCCAACATAGTTGACACAGGAAGTAAGAGAAATCTGATCATTAGTAGCTGGGTTTTATTTTTGGCCCAGCACTTTACTGTTTCTCTGAACTTCACATCAATGGCCTCATCCCTCTCAGAGGAAACAGGTTACATATGCATCTGTGAAATGGAGAAAACAACATCTACCTCACAATAAGATTAAGATTACATGCAAATGTATATAAATCTATATAAGCATAATATAATACTATTTATTAGTGGCTTCCTATGTGCGAGGTATTGGCTGGATGTTTTAAAAGTCATGTAGTCTTTATAACAAGTCTAGGAGTTACTATCACTATTCGTACTCATAAGTGAGAATTCTAAATTACCCAAAATTTGAGAAATTCTAAGATTACACATCTAACAAATAGAAAATCTCTCCTTAAATCCAAGGCACCTGGCTCCCAGGTTCGTACACTTAAACACTATGATAGATGTCTCCCAAAAAAGTTAATTAAAGGTTAGCATATGTCCTCTCCCTATTCTTTGTTAAAATAATCACCTTGAGAGTCAGAGCTCTTGTTGCTTAGAAATAATTATAGAAATCTTTTATAGTTTCCTTAAGGCTATGGAGCTAGATTTCCAGGATTCTTCATGGATACTGTATCGTGTCCTTTAAGAATAGATTCATTTTTTTAAATATCCAAAAACTGTGACTAAAGTGGATGCACAATCTAGATAGTGTGGTGAACTAAAAATATCATGAGAGATTCTGATGCAGTTCATAACTGGCTTTGTAGGTAATTCTAGAACAAGGTTTTAAACATGTTTTTAAACAATGTTGATGCCTTTAGTAAAATAAAAAAGTATACTTTATACTTCATACATACAGTATAAAGTGTTGTTGTTGTTGTTTAGTCACTAAGTCATGTCTGCCTCTTGCAACACCATGGACTGTACCCTGCCAGGCTCCTCTGTCCATGGCATTTCTCTGAAAAGAATACTGGAGTGGGTTGCCATTTCCTTCTCCAGGGAATCATCCTGACCCCACAGAATGGAACCTGTGTCTCCTTCGTTGGCAGGTGGATTCTTTACCACTGAGCCACCAGGGAAGCCCCATATAAAGTATAAAAATCTCATATAAAGTAACTCTTTGGAAAGTTCAAGTTATCAATCAGTGTGGCCACACAGCAAGTTGTCCAGAGAATTTGTTTATATCCATTGTCAGAAATCTGCCTTCTTTAGCAAGAATTAGTCTTTCTGCCTTGTACCTTCTTCCTTTATGCCCCATTTTTTGGACAAGTATCTAGTCTTTAATTATTGTAGAGAATGATGATAAATAAAACTGGTAATCCAATAAACAAGGAGGAGTAGAAAAAGGTACCCTCTTGGGCAATTGTAGTCTTCTGCAGAGCACGCTGTTCACAAACAGAGATGGAGAAATTTTGTCCACAGTCAGCCTCCATCATGCCTTCTCACAGACCACAGCTTTGTCTCTGCCCCCACACTACAATCCCTCTGCTGGACACACAAGTGCATTGTTTAAAAGAACAGAAGTCTGGGCTTCCCTGGTGGTTCAGTGGTGAAGAGTCCTCCTGCCAATGCAGGAAGGCCCCACATGCTGTGGAGCAGCTAAGCCCGTGCGCCACAGCTACTGAGCCTGCGCCCTAGAGCCCAGGAGCCGCAGCTGTTGAAGCCCGGGTGTCCTAGAGCCCGTGCTCAGCAACAAGAGAAACCCACAATGAGAGGTCCCAGCACTGCAACCAGGGAGTAGCCCCTACTCTCCGCAACTATAGAGGAGGCCACATGCAGCAACAAGGACCCAGAACAGCTCAAAATAAGTGAATAAATAAGAATTATTTTAAAAACAATAACAGAAATCCTGCAAAAGCTTAGCTCTCTAGCATCCATCCATCTCCCTTCTAGATATTTCTTCCTTAGTATGAGCAAGCTATCATTCACCTTCTGAACACCAAAAACAGAGCTACCTGCATGAAAACTGTAGGAAGTACAAATCTGATTTTCAAATAAACCAACCTTCAAAATATATATATATTTTTAACTTTGTTATCTGCAACAAGCAAATCGATAAAGAAAATCTTGGAATGTTTTGAGAAGCTTTTTTATCTAAATAAATTTAAAATGCATAAATAAATATGGTATTTAAAAAGAACACTAAATTGAAAAGTATGTTTTATGAATTTTTTTATCTTTAAAGTGTCTCTATATTCTAAGTTTCTGCCATAATGAGTGAATTTTACATACTGTGACTACTAGAATAATTGGCTTAGTAAAGTCAAATATAATAACTTATTTTTTTCCATTTATTTTTATTAGTTGGAGACTGATTACTTTACAATATTGTAGTGGTTTTTGCCATACATTGACATGAATCAGCCATGGATTTACATGTATTCCCCATCCCGATCCCGCCCCCCCCCCCCCTCGCCTCCCTCTCCATCCCATCCCTCTGGGTCTTCCCAGTGCACCAGCCCTGAGCACTTGTCTCATGCATCCAACCTGTGCTGGTGATCTGTTTCACCCTTGATAGTATACTTGTCTCAATGCTATTCTCTCAGGACATCCCACCCTCGCCTTCTCCCACAGACTCTAGAAGTCTGTTCTGTACATCTGTGTCTCTTTTTCTGTTTTGCATATAGGGTTATCGTTACCATCTTTCTAAATTCCATATATATCTGTTAGTATACTGTATTGGTCTTTATCTTTCTGGCTTACTTCACTCTGTATAATGGGCTCCAGTTTCATGCATCTCATTAGAACTGATTCAAATGAATTCTTTTTAATGGCTGAGTAATATTCCATGGTGTATATGTACCACAGCTTCCTTATCCATTTGTCTGCTGATGGGCATCTAGGTTACTTCCATGTCCTGGCTATTATAAACAGTAATGCAAATCAAAACCTCAATGAGGTACCATTACACGCCAGTCAGAATGGCTGCTATCCAAAAGTCTATAAGCAATAAATGCTGGAGAGGGTGTGGAGCAAAGGGAACCCTCTTACACTGTTGGTGGGAATGCAAACTAGTACAGCCACTATGGAGAACAGTGTGGAGATTCCTTAAAAAACTGGAAATAGAACTGCCATATAACCCAGCAATTCCACTCCTGGGCATACACACCTAGGAAACCAGATCTGAAAGAGACACGTGTACCCCAATGTTCATTGCAGCACTGTTTATAAAATATAATAACTTAAAATGACAAGTTCAGTAAATAGTCTGTGACCAATAAACTGAACATAGTTATCTAAGAAAGAAAGAAGAATATGGAACTAAATAAGTCACCAAGGGATATTTTCTATTTTCCTTCCCAAGAACTGTCTTAAAAAATAATAAACATTTATTAGGCTAAAATAATTTAGATTTATCTGAAACTGGGTGATTTGACAAATATCAAAGTTATGCAGAAATAACCTGCTAAATTCAGTCAAGTAAGATGTCCATTCAGTAAAAAGTAGCAGTCAAGCTGAATAATAAATAATATAACAAAATGCTTTTGAGGCCAAAATTGATATGCAATCCCACTGCCAGCACCAAGCTCAAGCAAAAACTTATACAAAATAAAAACAGGTATGCAAACAATACTGTACTCAAAGTTTTAACCACTTTGTGGAGGGTTTAAGTAAAAAATGAGAATCTTGCATACCTGCATTTGCCCTTTTCAATTATAACAAATGTTCAGTATCTCAAGAGAAATCCTCTTCTAACACACACACACACCAGGATAGAATGACAGAATATGAAGAGACACTTAATCTCTTTTCTTACTCTGTTGAGACTTCTGAATCTTACTGTCCTAAGTCCTGCATTCTCAGTGAAACCTTCCCGTAGGAGTCATTTCTCTCTTTCTCCCAAATCTTATGTCATTTGCTATCTCTAGTCTCCACTTGACAATTCTGTTTGCCTCTATTTTTTTTTAATTTATTTATTTTTTATGGATGGATAATTGCTTTACAAAAGTTGGTGGTTTTCTGTCAAACCTCAACATGAATCAGCCATAGGTATACATATATCTCCTCCCTTTTGAATTTCCCTCCCATCTCGCTCCCCATCCCACCCCTCTAGGTTGATACAGAGGCCCTGTTTGAGTTTCCTTAGCCATACAGCAAATTCCCTTTTGCTATCTATTTTACATATGGCAGTATACATTTCCATGTTACTGTTTCCCTACATCTCATTTTATTTTTGACTTTCATCTTTTTATGAATAGTATCTTCCTAGCCAAAGTTTAATATGTCTTGAGAGCAGATACCATGTCTTGCATTGTGATGCCTTATACTTATTTCCATTTATCAATCTACTATTTCTGGTCTTCTGGTTGAAGGCTAGCATTCAACAGACATTTAGCATGGTGCTCCACAAGACCGAGTCAACCAATTAACTCGTAATATTGTATGTAGTAAACCAAAAGA